CCCCTCCGATTTCCCCCCCTTCATTCTTCCCCTCCCGCTATCTTTTTTTTTTTTAAACATATATTGTATTATTTGTTTCAGAGGTACAGATCTGTGAATCTTAAAGCTACTCTTTAGAACCTCTGGTTATTAATCATAGTGCTTTAGAGTCCTTATTTCTGGAATCCCTCTCTTATCCTGGTTTCCATCCTACTGTTAAGATAATTCTTATCATTTCCTTTTCAGCTTTCTATTCTTCTACCAGTTTTTTAAGTGTTGCCATTCCTCAGGGCTCCAATCCAGGTCCTCTTCTCACTCTGAATAAAGTCTGGAGTGGGAGGTGGGGGGGCGCCTCTTCCTCCTCCACAATGACCTGAGTGCCTTTGGGACCATGTGCTGATGCCTCTCAAATCTACATATCAAAGCCATACCCTCTGGTTTGAGCTCCAGCCATCTTCACTTGATTGCCGAACTAATAAATCCAAAAGTGAACCCATCATCTTCCAAATCTACTTCCGACCTAGTTTTGAGAACTAGAAGTGTGGGGGACATCTTTGAATGTCCCTTTTTTTCATTCCCTACATCGAAACTGGAACTCATTCCTGCAGATTTTACACCGTATTTCCTGAACATACCCCCTCTCTCTTCACATCCAGTCAGTGCCTGTCAAGGCAGCCTTCCTCATTTAGCCAGGAGGCTGCAACAGTCTGCTCACCAGTCTCCCTGTCACAGATCCAGAGGCTATCTGATCCACCTGCTACACTGCTGCCTGTGGGATCTAAGAGAAATCCGATCCTTCAAACACCTCCTCAAAACTCTCAGGATAAAAATGTAAATTCCTTAACATATTTTACAAGACCCTTGTAACATACTTTACCATCTGCCCTCCCCCCTTCGCCCGCTAACTCTCTAGCTCCATCTAGAAATACTCCTTCCCTCCCTTTCTCTACTAGCCAGTTATTTTATTTCTCAAATGTGCCAGATTCTTCCCCCTGCCTTTCTCCCACCTCTCATTCAGCAAATATTTAGTAAGTTCACTTTCCCTGGCCAATTCTTACTTGTCCTTCAGATGTTAACTTTAAACACCATTTGACTACTTAGGACTAGATATTGTGCTCTATAATACCTATTACCTTCCCCATTATACATGTCATTTTACTGTAATCACTTTTTTCTTATCTTCCCTGTAAAAATCCAATAGGGTATTGTTATCTTATTCACTGAATTTGAAGCTGGGTCTGACAAGCATTACATATTTTTGTAAATAAACTGTGAAAGATCAATAGATGGAATTATACTAGGTACTAACCATGTGTTGTTAGTACTAAGAAAATAAGAAAGAAGATAAATAAAGTAAGAAAATAAACCTGAAAGTTATGAATTATTTCCACTATTTTCCCAGTTTCAGATAAGCAGCAGAGCAATCTCCGAAAGATTAAATAATATCACAAATATTTAAAGTGTCAGGGCAGAGTTGAACTTACATGCATAAGAGTCAAACTTTTTCTAGAACCACGTTGTTTACTTATAAACATTTTGTATATGTTGCAATTAGACTTTTATACTCCTAAAATAATATCTAAAAATAAGGAAATAAACTTTTTTTAATATAAAAATCCTGATTAAATCATTTCTGTGAATTGGACAAGATACTTTTAGGACAGCCTTTAACAAATAGTTTAAATTTAAAACATTTAAGTGAATCTCAAGTCAAAAGGAGAGACACCAAAGCAAGATAGAAAAATTTAAAAAACAAAGGAAAAAATATGCCAATGTTCAACAGATACTGCTCCAAATCTCATGGATCAGTATTCAGCTGGGGAAATGTGTTAACATTACTACACTGAATTGAACTTTAAAATCAGCAGCACATTCAGATCTTATAAGGTTTTTTTCATACATTGTCAAATACAGAAGCAGTGTGGTAAAATAGGGCTAATATGAATTTTGGACTCTACAGGTATGGGGCAGCTGGCTGGTTCAGTCAGAGGAGCATGCGACTCTTGATCTTAGGGTTATGAGTTCGAGCCCCACCCTGGTGTAGAGATTACATAAACAAACAAACTTTAAAAATATGTATATGAATGTTGCAGTCATTAGACCTGGGCTCAGATCCATATTCCCATTACTTAATAATTGTGTGACCTCATGCAAGTTTCTCCACTTCTCTGAGTTCAATTTTCATATAGGTAAAATAAGAACAATATCATCTTTATGAGCAACTATTTTAAGAATTAAGGTTAATATACATAGAGGCCCTAGTAAAAGGCACATATTTCATATATTTCAACATATAAGTGATATAAACAATAACTGATATCATCAGATATTTGATCTAGAAATTTAATCTGAAATTATGTCAAAACATACTCATTTGAAACATAACTTGAACAACTTTTCCTACTATCTGTTATACCTCCTAGTAAGTCAATTATGTCTATATCCTTAATATCTGATTGTTTACAAAGTGTTATTTTTGTAGGGATGAAGAGGAAGGTAGGAGAATAAAAAAGAAGAAATAACACAAAAAGATCATAAATGCTTCAGCTGTTAAAAGATGGTCCGGCTGCAGAATCTTCTGTGCATAAGAAAATCCAAAAACAATTTTGCACCTGCAACTGAGGGGATGAGGTTGAAGGGATTAGGAATTCCCTGTACTTGAAAAGAAATCTATGAACTCCATCATTCCTTCTCTTTCTCTCAGGATTTCCAGGACATGATGTACTTTGTACCGCATATCTCAAAGTTCCCATTAATACTGGGAAACCCAGCAAGACACAGTTATGTTAGTATGTTACCCCATGAATTCTGATCTTTCCACAAAGTGTAGAACATAAGCAGAAAATGGGGAACTTAAAGAAAGGGGAAGAGGAAAAAGGAAGAAAGGTGATGGAAAATCATTTAAATGACACTAAATGATTAGCACTAAAGATAAGAAGGTCAGAAAAAGTCACTAATATGCAAATAATTCGAAATTAATTTGCAGTTATAAATATTGCTGCTATAAATACTAGATGTCAACTTCTTTTTAATCACTTAAACTTCCTTTAAAATTAGCTTACCAGAATCATAGCTTGGAGGCTTCATATCTCCCTGATTCAATTCTGTCCCATATTTCAACTTGTGGTATTTGGCTCTAACAAAGAAATAAGAAAATACAAACCATCTTAAAACATATTTAAATGAACTTTAGGATATGTAATAGGAGTAGTCATCAGTACGCAGTAGTCCTGGCTACCTTTCAAAGTAGGCTTCCACAGTGTCAAAGTGGTTGTCATTATTATTTTATTGTTGTTACACCATCAAGTGCCATTATAACAAAAGAATAACACTGGGAACCATAAATCTTTCTATAATTACATATAACATTCTAGTTTCTATAGTATTCAAATTTTCTTGATGATTGCCAAATTACAATTCTACTATCAAAAGCAGTAGATAAATTTGGATTACGAAATAAACTTGTAGAAGACTAACCTTTCTCAAAATTGATGTATTTATAAAAAGAAAACTCATCTAATGGTATGTACATACAACGGAATATTATGCAGCCATAACAAAAGGGTGAGATCTTGCTATCTGTGACAACATGGATGGACCCAGAGGGTATCATGCTAAGTGAAATAAGTCAGACTGAGAAAGACAAATACCAAATGGTTTCACTCATGTGTGTAATCTTAGAAAACAAAACAAATAAATAAACAAAAAGCAGAATCAGACCTATAAATATAGAAAACAGAGACTTACCAGAGGGAAGGGCAGTGAGGGAATGGGCAAAACGGGGAAAGGGGACTGGGAGATACAGGCTTGAGTTATGGAATGAATAAGCCACAGGAATAAAAGGTACAAGGAATACAGTTGATGATATTGTAATAGCACTGTATGGTGACACATGGTCACTACACTCGTGGTAAACATAGCATAACATATAGAGATAATGAATCACTGTGCTGGACAACTGAAACTAATGTAACACTGTGTCACCTATACTCAAAAAAATGTTTTAAGTCATCTATAATACTCTGTGCCTTGTCAGGCAATTACGATTTACCAAGTATGCATTACAGTAAACAATCCAAAGGAGAGAGGGGGAATCAGCCCTAATCACCAGTGTTGAATAAGATATTTCAATAGGAATGAATACATTTTTTTTAATAGTCAAGTAAGTCTCTGTTTTCTATATTTATAAGTCTGATTCTGCTTTTTGTTTATTTATTTGTTTTGTTTTCTAAGATTACACACATGAGTGAAACCATTTGGTATTTGTCTTTCTCAGTCTGACTTATTTCACTTAGCATGGTATCCTTTGCCTTTTCAGGAAGGACTATGAAGAGAAATTCTTATCTATTTCCCTTTTAAAGCTAGCTGAATATAATTATTTCTGGCTAACCTGATTTCACCATTTCAGATTTAAACATCTGAGACCAAAAAAATAATCCAGATAAAGTAAAAATTTTAAAGGTCAATCAAAAATGGCCATACTTACGTAATGTATTTATATATTTTGACTTGTTTGCTTCCCCAAAATATTGAGGCCATTTATAATAAATATTAAATGCAATAAGGTTAGGATAACAACAACAGTAATAATAATTAGAAAAACCAAAGTAATAAAGTAATAAAGAAGGAATGAGGGGATAATATAGCCAAATTTCAAAGTTAATTTTTTTATAAAAAAACTAATTCAGCACTTCACATAAAGAAGTTTTTATATTTCAAAAAAGGTATAAAGGAAATGAAAATTATTTGCTCAAATGGGCAAAGTACTGGAATTCATATTATTTTATAGTTACAACAGAAAAATCAACATTTATATAGAGGAGGATCTTAAGAAAACCTATGAAAATTATAGATGGCTAATGTTCTATTTAAGGTCGGCAGCGAGTATAGGAGTATATATTAGTCTTATATGTTTTGCATATGTACAGAATGTTTTGTAATAATATACACACATTAAAAATAAAAATGAATATTTGTTTTATATATGTATTATATATATATATGTCATATGCATAGAAGACTTCTGGAAGAATACGGAAGACATTAGTTAAGATTTCCTTGGGGAAAGGAAAGGAATACATAAAGGGAGACCATATTGTGTTATTTGGTTAATTAACATGCATATATTTCTTTTTTTTTTAATTTTTAGTAAATACTTTTGTTCCAAATTAACTAGAACATCTTTTTCTCTATTCCCAATGCTTCTGCTAATCACAAAGATTTCATCATCAGACTAAACATTTCCTAGTCTATTTCAATGTATTTGTAATAATGTTGATTATTAGAGAATAAGATTTATAGCCACTTAATTTTACTTACAGTTACCAGAAATTAAACAAGGTTCTTAATATTTGTCAATCTTCAGATTTTTCATCTACCATGAAACAAAGTAACAATACCTCCTAAAAGTCAACTAGTAATTGAAAGTAACTGGTCTGAGGATGGAATAAAAGTAGCAATAAAATATTATGCAGTTCATTTATTTATATATATATATATAAAATATACACACACACACACAGAAAAACATTTCTACATAAAAATACTGCACTATAGTGCATTCTAGTGGTCTTGGGAAAAACTGCAACAGAGTTTATATAAAAGGGGAATAGAAAATATTCTTTACAATGTATTAATAAAAATAACATACTATGAGCTAACATTTCATAAAAAATTAGACAAAGTAAGTAAAGAACTGTCGTGTTTACCACAGGCTGTGTTCCCTTAAAGCAGGGTCTCCCTACTAAACTGTTAAATTCACTGAAAAAACCTTACTCCCAGAACCCTTCTCAACTTAGCAACATTCAAGCTAACATGCCAAATACCTTTCTCACTCATATTGTTTCCCATGGTTTTAATACTTCATCTCACTGTGTTACTTACCAATCTTCTTATTCCCTTATCTTTTTGTCTAAATGTGACTGTAAAATAAATAGCAGATCTCATGCCTAAGAACCCTATGTCTGATACACAGCTAGGCCTCCCAACTGACCTTTACTGGATAAAAGAGCATAAAAAATGTATAATAATAAAGAAGTCCCATTATAGCTTTGTTTCAAAGTCTATCATTATATATAATGTGCTAGGAATATAACACAGCATCCCAATCACATTTTAAATGTTGATGCTAAAAATAATCTGATTAAATCAATGAACTGTTTCTGAATTCTTATGACATGTCAGGCACTGTATTGGCTGCTGGGAATAACCGGCAGTTTGTAGTCAATTAAGGGTGGAGGCAAGGAGATGGCTAAGAGATAGAAATTGAAATAAATAATGACAGCACACTGTGGTAAGAGTTATGAGATAGATCAAATGTTATAGGAATTCAGATAAGAGATTAATTCTGTCAAAGGTGGTGTCAAGGAGAACTACCAAAAAAAAAAAGGTAACATATGAGATTCTAGCTAAACCTCAAAAAACCAGTGGTTTTCCAATCAGACAAATAGATTGATGAAAAGTATTTGTCAGAAAAAAAAGTGGGGAAAAAAATACATCATGGGTCAAAAAAAAAAAAAAAAAAGTGTGTGTGTGTTTGTGCGTGGGTGGGTGTGCGTGTGTATGTGTGTGTGTGTACAGGACTAGAAAGGGGCCTGGCTGTAAGAGGTTTTACTAAGATCTCTGAAATTAGCTAGATATTTTTAAGCAGGGATATAATATCTGTATTTCAAAAAATGCATCCTATGAATGTGGAAGATGAATTAGAATATGGAAATATCAGAGGCAAGGAAGACATGTGGGTTTTTATAGTGCAGGTGAAAGAAATGGGGAAAAATGGAATGTTTCAGAATTGTATTTTATATAGTATTTAAGGTTCTTCAGTATAGAAGTTCCTGAGTAAATCTTAGATTAAACACTATGTGTTCTTGAAAAATTAGACGTAAATTTCCTCATTTTACATATTCTACCACACTATAAGGAATGCCTTGATAAATTCCTGGCTAGGTGAGTAATTTTCCTGTAATGTTAAAGATTCAGTTTCACTTAATTTTGGATCTTTTTAAGTGGGACTACTTAGAAAATCTGTAACACAGCAATTCTAAATCATGATCCTTACACTTAGGTATGTCACGGTAAATGACAAGATGTCTAGAATTTGCTGTTCTAAAATAGATAAAGATGAAGCAAGAATGACAGGAACATTAACTGTTGAGGCTTGGAGGTGTATATAAAAAATATTAGTCTCTCTACCTTTATGTTTCAAATTATGCTCAAAAAAAAAAACTTAAAAATTCTTGGCTTAAAGTATTAGAAAAATAATTTCAGAATCAGAAGAACTGAAATGTTCTAGAACTCCAAAATTTTTAAAAATTCCTGGCATTAAAACATTCGAAAAATAATTTCAGAGTTAAAGAACTGAAATGTTTAGAGCTCTAATCCAGAAAGAAATGCTTTTTTATTCCTTATTACACTTAAGTAGTGCCATAACATCAGGAATAATCTCAAATCATTCCATAAATTTCAAAAGATACAAAATCAGTGACTCTGGAATCAGGAGAATTCCATCAGTTTAAAAAAAAAAAAAAAAAAAAAATCTTCCCTAGACCCAGCCAGTTATCTCTTCTGTTTTTCAAAGTCAAACTACTTGAAAAAATAAGCGACTGTATCTGTCTCCACTTTATCTGTCCTGAGTTCTCAGCCTTCAATCTTCTGTGATCTGGTTTATGTTCCTGCTACCTCACTGAAACTATCCTGGCAAGGAGACCAGCAAGCTCCTACCTGGCACATCTATATAACTACTTTCAGCTTACAACTTACCTGGAGTCTGCTGGGCATCTGCAATAGTCACCTTCTTTAGCTTGCGTCCAATATACTGCTCTCTCCTTCCTTCTCCAACCATTCCTTTGCTGGCTCTTCCTCCTTCTGCCTTTTCCTCAAACATTTCCATTTCCTGTGGCTCCGGCTGATTCTCTCTTCTCCTCCCATAATACTTGTTCTGCTTGTTTCAACTACTCCTATAACTTCATCCACAATACTTTTGGTTCCCTAAGTATACATCTCTAGTCCTGAGTCCCACTCCCATATCTGCTTTTCAACACTTACTTCTTAATCTTTAATTCATTTGATAACTTATAAAACTTTCACTCGGGCGCCTGGGTGGCTCAGATGGTTAAGCGTCTGCCTTCGGCTCAGGTCATGATCCCAGGGTCCTGGGATCGAGTCCCACATCGGGCTCCCGGCTCAGCAGGGAGCCTGCTTCTCCCTCTGACCCTCTCCCCTCTCATGCTGTTTCTCTCTCACTCGCTCTCTAAAAAATAAATAAAATCTTTAAAAAAAAAAAAACTTTCACTCAAGCCAGGAACCTGGGAACCATTCTTGAATTATAATTTTTATGGATTCTATTTAAAATGTTTCATAGCTGATGCCTCCTCTATTCCAGCAGCTACCATGTTATAATTTCTCATCCTAGACTATTAGACTCTTCCAGCTTCTATTCATAGATCTTTCCAGTCCATCCCCCATAACGAAGTCAGGGTGATCTTTCTAAAATCTCTTTCACACTATTCCATGCTCCTTTCAACTGCATGACAACTAAATACAATATGTATTCCTAGACTGGATCCTAGAGCAGGAAAAAAAAGTACTATAAAAATCATTACTGGGACATTTGATGAGGAAAAGTACTATTAAGATCATCACTGGAGGGGCACCTGGGTGGCTCAGTCATTAAGCATCTGCCTTCAGCTCAGGTCATGATCCCAGGGTCCTGGGATCGAGCCCCACATTGGGCTCCCTGCTCAGCGGGAAGCCTGCTTCTCCCTCTCCCACTCCCCCTGCTTGTGTTCCCTCTCTCCCTGTCTGTCAAATAAATAAAATCTTAAAAAAAAAAAAAAAAAAGATCATCACGAGCATATGAATATGGGCTATATTAGATAATAGTGCTATATCAACATTAAATTTCCTTAATTTGATAAAGAGCTGTAATTATATAAGGGAATCTCCTTGCTCTTAGAAGATACATACTGAGGTATTCAGGGGCAAAGGGGTATAACATCTGCATCTAAGTAGCAAATGATTCAGAAAAAAAGCAATGTGCCTACAGAGTGAACATACCAGTAAATACAGCAAAATGTTGTCAACTAGGTGAATCCGGGTAAAAGGCATGTAGTTCTTGCAACTACTATTAGCTTGAGAAATTTCAGAATAAAAGGTTTTGAAAAACTTTCAATGTTCCCTATTATATGGAAGATAAAAGTCTGAACTCCTTAGTTAAGTTCTCCATCATCTGGCTCTTGCTCACATCTACCATTATCACTTATTAAATCACAACTAACATCCTACCCTCCACACACAGTGACTGCGTATTTCTGTAACACACCAACTACTTTGTTCCCTGTCAAACATATCCTCTCTACTTCTTGAACTTTGCCTATCTGGCGAACACCTTATT